TCCTCTACTACCATCGCTTCAGCAGCCGTGTTGTGCGCTCTCTCGAGCTTGCGCGTTGTGGTTTAACCTCGTGCTCCCCATATCCCGCGCTCAAGCGCGCCTCAACTGGGCCCACACCAGGCGTGGCTACTAACTATCACTCCGACGAGGCGTATGCCTCCAAGCGCGCGGGGAGGGGGCAGCGCAACGTTGGCGAGCAGTGCGCAGCTCTTCCCCTCTGCCTTCGCGCGCTTGGAACTAGTGGCTCAATGTGCATGCAAAAATGCGCAAAATACCCAAATTAGGGGTGTGTCTCTCTACATGCGATCCCACGGACTTCTCTCTCGCATTTCTGATTGGTCTAAATAAAGGTGTATCTCTTAAACCGCTGTAGCGCTCAACATGCGAAATGCGGTAGTTCCACAGGCAGTTCACCAACTACTGCACCGACCTCTAAAGAATATACAACAGGTTCGATATAAACGCGAATTAGAAGTAAACGCGTCGACTTTCAAAGAGTTTTAGATTGCGGAGGGCTGCATCTGAACATCTTTAGTGTAAACTATCTGTCTGTGAACAACCATGCAGAACTTTCACTTCCACGATAAAAAATACTAAGTAGAAAATTGGTCTCCCAGCCAAAGCGCAGCAACCTTGTATGAGTTTTTGTATGCTTTTAGTAAGATAAAAACCCATGTTCTAGCGGAAGCGAGCGGTTGCGAGGTCGCGTAGCCGCGGCAAACCCGCGCGGGGTGCCCGCGAAGCAGGGCCGCGCTGTATTTGCGGAGGCGGGCCCAGCGCCGAGCATTCCAGCGTGCGGACACGGTGCCGCAACTCGGAGTTAGTTTTCTTTATGCGGGGCTCTGGGGATGCAACCCCCAGAATGCCTAGAATGCATGAAACCCGATCACAGATCAGGTCCGTTCTGTATCTGACCACAACGATAGGTTACCTGATCGATAGGTAGGTTCCCCTCACCTGGCCAGGACGAGGGCTTCGTATTGACAATAGTTGCGCTTGAGTGTCAAAAACTCGCAGAAGTCATAGATAGAATCCCACCGGGACACTCAAGCGCAACTATTATAATCGGCTGCGCTGCAAATAGAAAAGGGTTGCTCGCTTTCGATCAGTTTGAGGTGGATAGTTTGTGGTCACGGATCTCGCGCGGTCAGCCAAGTTATGATTTGAGTAACTGCAGTACAAACATGCCACCGTATCCGAGCAGTACTGTACTCGGCCCGCAATAAACTACAGTACCTACAGTAATTAGTCTGGCCCAGACTAAATCTGAATAGCAGATTTTTCATTGCCCACAATTATTAGTCTGGCCCCAACAGTGACAGACTAATTTTGAAGTCAGGCTAACTATGAATATCTAAAAATATCCGTTTTCAAGTAAGAAAAAACATTATTTTTGTGAAATGGTATGTTTATACGTATTTTCAAATATTTTTGATAGTATAACTATATTTATCGTGGCTTTAAGGAGAAATAAAGACTAAATCATCGCAGATGCTGCTTCTCTAACGGTTAGAGAAGGCTATTCAATGGGTTCGATGCCATGTTCACTCAGGTATCTGTTATATTTTCCAGATTTCACTGTGTGTGCGAGATTTGGTAAATTGGCTGCTGTCAAGTGCTTTTTCAAAAATCAGTGCCGTAAAGTAGGTAGAGATTGACTAGAATCGTGGTCACCACGACAGACTAATTATGAACATTTTTAGCCAGACTAATAATGAAGACGTCAATTTTTGCTTGACACGAATTAGTCTGGCCCAGACTAATTTTGAAGCCAGACTAATTTTGAGCCCAGACTAATTACTGTAGGCACTGTAGTGACAACGCTCCAGAACCGCCCTGATGCTTAAGTGGGCGAAGACTGAGTGTAAGGCGTCATTGTTTTCGAGTGAACTTTAATTTAAGAGATGCAAGACAGTTTGGCTTGGTTCTCGTAGTTCGTGATGCTGAACAAGGATCTATTGGCGGGGTCCTGGGCATTACGTTGTCCGCCCAGGACACAGTATACGCCATGGCGACTCGTAAAGAATCTGCTCTTATCACTCGTGGCGCGTTCGCCGAGTCATTTTACAGGCATGAAGACCGATTTACCAGGCTGTACGGCGATTCGGTGGTAGGGAAAATTTGGGCCCAGCATCGTAGTAGAAGGAAGAGTATCAAGTCGATCGAAGGTTTGGAAACAATGTCGACCGCTATCTAAGCTCAAAACAACCGAGACATGGGGAGATCTCGATCCTGAAACGCATGAAGAGCGAGCATTGGGGTCAACTCACCGATTTCTCGCCAGAAGACGAGCTACATGCTTCGCAGTACTTGGAGCTAGTGAAAGTACCGCACAGCGCAGTCGTTGATTAGGCTTCATCAGTTTAATTAAGTATCAAGTAGAGATACATGCTATATTAAGGGCCCCCAGCCTTCCTTCATTAAGGTAATATAGGCACTAGGATGGATATCCTAGTTTGACGAAGCCTGCGTATTGTGTTGGCGAGTCACCTTGGCAAGTAGAAGGTGTGCGTCACGCGCTGAGCCCGCAGCCTGGGGCCACACACGAGCGTCCAGCCGGATCTACGTTTTTTCTGTCCGTATGCTAACTGAGTCAAGTTTCACTCCACATCTTTATAACGCGTGGATAACTGCAATCTGGAGGAGGGATGACACGCCGCTGAGCGACTCATGGACTGTATATAAACAAAGATATTCCCATCCCGCCTTCTGTTTATGTGCAGCCCAGTTTTCGCATTAATTTTAACACAGATTATTTACTGGAAGGTCACTTCAAATTATGCTGGTTTCATCAAAATTAAATCCGCAAGTGGCCCAAGCCACCCCATACTTTGATGGTGCCCTCAGAAGCATCTAAAACATGCTCTGGCACGTTTTCACGCTGTGGTTGCTGCTAGTTCAGGCGTCATTAGCACTCCTATCTTCCTACCCATGAGACCACCCCTTAGCTGTCCATTTTCGATACTCAAGCTCAGTTGTTTGAAGGGTCGAGCATGCGCTATTTTTAGAATCGACTCGATAGCAGCAATATCAGTGAAGTGGTTGCACATCATAGCATGCTCTGCTTTTAATAATGCTCTTCCTCCTAAGTGCAATTGCGTATCATTTAGAGTACACGCAGCGCTTTCCAACGATGTTTTTATCCCCATGTGGAAGGACCTAACGGATTTAAAGACTTTTGACCTAGCATAGCAAAAGGCGGCTTTTCGTGACCTTCCAGTAAATAATCTGTGTTAAAAAAGGTGCTGCAATGACTTTACTTTACTCTCGAACGACAGCATGTAGCCACAGAAACCGAAATTGTCTATTATTACAGCTGGGCCAGAGAAAGGACCAACGGAGGCGAGCGGTTGCGAGGTCGCGCAGCAGACCCGTGCGGGGTGCCCGCGAAGCAGGGCCGCACGGTATCTGCGGAGGCGGGCCCAGCGCCGAGCGTTCCAGCGAGCCGAGCACTGTACTCGCCAGGTGAGAGAATCTTTTTATCGCAGGAGCGCAGCGAAGCAAAGCCCATGATCCTATACAAAAATCAAGATATCGGTTTTCGCTGTGCTGTACTACAGACAACGACGGATAAATCCGGCATAACTGAATGACATCCGCCATAGTAAATGTGCCAAAATTCTCTGTCGGGAACGATAGAGATTATACAAGGCAATGACATAAAGTACACGTAACGGAGCATAAAGTACACACAAATTTAGAGAAAGTACTTAAAACCATATGGAATAGAAATGTCAAGTGTAACTCTCGAAGCTGATTGGCTTTCTGAATTACTTATTGTGAAAAGTACAACATATGTGTGCCGGGTTGTGCGTTGCCGTATTTATCCGCCGTTGTCTGTAATATCCTCTGCCACAGAAACCGTGCCTCGGCTGTCGATATAACGACACCATGGAGGGGACACAGCCGAGATTAGCGTTTCTTGAGGATTTGAGAAACGTGCCCCGACGGATAATACCACATGTGTACCTACCATATTTAGTTATAGTGGGGGTGGTAAAAAATGGGAATGAGTACTTTCCTACCTCGATCATCAATCACGCCATACAAACTTCTTCATAAAGACTTCGCCCGTCTCCAAAATGGCTCCTTTTTGGCAACCCCATTATAACTAAACCCAAATACATGTATACGTACGCACTGCTGTGTCTGTGTCTATGTGCCGGTAGAACAATTTCAGGTTCAGCTTGTTCTAACCTGATTTTATGATGTACTTCCGCCCCCAAGCTTGTTACATGAATGAATCCAAGTAGGAGCAACCAGGAAAATCCAGTTAGTAAACTCAATTTAAATGCCCCTCTCTTCCGCTCGGATATTAGTTTATCCCCACTAGTAGCGGAAATCTGGGCTACACCGGCTTATAAAGGCGGTGTGGTTGCTACGTGTACACGTATGACGCGAAGTTGCCGTCAAGTTGCATTATATATACGACATATGGTTAATGTAGCTCTTGGTTGCAATTTGCATTTGCAACTTGCAAATGTTATTGAGCAATGTGCTCTGGGTATCGAGGAAATACTGTACTAATACCTGTAGCATTTTGCGGTATAATACATGTATTTTTACTGCCGAGCAAGGCATGTAGCTTCGTCGAGTTAAGATTCTGGTGTATACCTAACGATAAATTCATGTATAACGTTGTACATGCTGTTATACACAGTAGAGGTCGGACGGGAAGGCGTGCCTGGACAAAGCACTTGGACGCCCTCCAGTCCCCTACCCAGATTAATATTTTCGTTTAGTAGAATTAGTCCATACGGACAGCGGAATTGGTACAAATCTATATGAGCCCCAAGTACTATTATAAGCCAAAGTGTAAAGGCAGCTTCGCCTACAGGCGAAGACAGTGTCTTCAAGACACTACGGAGCAGCAAATCCTGCAAAGCTTCGGCGCTGATCTACCCCTTCAAGCTTTTGAACAACGCTGCAGGAACCTATCGGTCCTACCTGCCTACACCTCGTTCCTGCCCAGTCAGCCTTTTACTTTCCATTCTTCCGCAATGGTAGCAAGACGATTCTCAGTGCAGGAGCTTCTGCTCGCTGTCCTACTAGCTCTGGTGGTCTGCAGCTCGTTCTCGTCGGCAGCCAAATGCACGTACAAGAAGAAGGCATCGAACACTCCGGTCGTCACGCCTGCGACCGAGGACACTGGAGGCTCCGCTGTAGAAGAAGCCGCTCCAATGACTGAGGCTCCTACGGAGACTGGAGACGTCTCCCAATTCACAACTCCAGCACCAGAGACCGAGTCGAGCAGCTTTGGCCAGGGAAGCTCCTTCCCGACGCAGGCCTCCGGTGACGGCACCGGTAACTCGTTCAACTTTGGTCAAGGAAGCTCCTTTCCGACGACTCAGGGCTCCTCCCAAGGCACGACCAGCTCCGGTGGGGGTAACTCGTTCAACTTCCAGTCGTCGGTTGAGCCGAGCAACGCTGGCCAAGGCGAGAGCAGCTCTACCGCTCAAACGGAAGGCAGCTCTACCGCCCAGACCGAAGGCTCGTCGGGCGACGTCACCCAGACGGACTCGAACTCCACTTCGGCAGGCGACCACGCCAGCTTCGGAAAGGTGACGTCGAGCGGCAAGTGTGTCAAGGGCGACCCCACCACGTACGTGACCCGCGAGGACGTGGACTGGGTCTGGAAGAACACGATGGAGAGCTACGTGCCGCCGTTCAAGAACCTCATCTTCGACCAGCTCGTGACCAACAAGGGCAAGCTCACGTACTGCGTCCGCTGGGACAACAACAAGAAGCTCACCAAGGCAGTGGCTTCCAAGTTCGAGGCCATGTTGGAGAAGCAGATGAATCTGTGGAACCGCTGGCTCGTGGGATACGAGTGCTGGCCCATTAACAAGATCGAGATCTCGATCGTGGGCTACGCTGTGCGCGACAAGTCCATCATGGACTGGAGCGACGACTCGCTGGGTACGATCTACGAGGGCATCTTGGATGACGAAGGAAGTCCCAAGTGCCCCGATGAGTGCTACAAACACCAGGGCCAAGCTGCCAGTGCCGACACTAGTGGTTGCAAGGGCAAGCCCTTCGACATGTCGCTGTGGCCGTCGACCAAGCCTGGCGAGGGAGCTATTGGCACGGGCGGCGACTGGGGCCAGCGTGTTGAGGTGAATGATATGCTGGCCACTATGGACCAGAGCGACATGATGGTGTTATTGCACGAAATGGGTCACGGCTTCGGGCTGCCCGAAATGTACGTGGACAAGAACAAACCCGCGGGCTACCCGTCCTGTGTCATGGACAACGACCTGAAGCTTACCGATGGCGATGGATGGCTGCTGCGCAGTGTGCTTGAGAACATCAAGACTCGCTACAGCTTTGGCAAGTAGTTGAAACATGTTGGGAGGCCACTCTAGTTGAAAAGTTCTTCAGTCGGGTACAAGCCAACCGTCTTGGTGTGCCGATAGATGTTTTACGCGTAATAATGCACTTGGTCATGGCGTAATGTGTTAATGGAGCCGAATATGTAAGCTTTCAAACGGGTGGTCGCTCAAATTCCGTCCACAATGCCTCCACATACATGTACACTACCTGATACTTAATAAGTAACTTCCTTTGGAACACGGGTGTCAAATCAGCACATCGCGACAGTATACGCAGGCATCAACAAACTAGGCACTCTGTACATAAACAATCCAAAGTACCTAAATGGGGTTTTCAAAATGTCCTTGTTTAAGAGAATGGCTTCAGGCTCGGTTCTATAGTAAATAGTGGTCCATTGATGGTTATGTCGTTGATACATGTATTTCTCGGTGCTTTTATCTTATCTAGCGCAGTAGCAACGGGGCTAGAACTACTAGAACCACTCATTCCGTCGCCGCTACAATAACCACTGCCACCACCCTCCTCCCGTTACTTTCGTCACTATGCCTTCAAGCTTCGCGCCAATATAATTCGTGCTAGCTCGACCTCCCTCTGCTCTGTGCATTTGGTACGCCAATGAAGCTCTCATACATGACAGCGCATGCCGTGGCAGCCGTACCTGCCAAATTATGAGATGGGGCTGGGTCGACCAGGCATCGTAACAGACCAATATACCAAAGTAAGTATTTAAATAATAAAATAACAACATGTAACCTGGCAATCGACTTATTATCAAATCTTCGTTACCTTGCATTGGCTTGTGGATACCACAGAACGAGCAAGGAGCAGCTACACTGTACCTGCGCTTTGTTGCGTATCATGGAATTTATCAGATATTATGGGTAACAACAGCTCTCTAGCTTGGCTTTGATGTGAATTTCGAGTCACGGTCTGAGACGATCGACTTCGGCACTCCATGGTATTTCACATAATTGGCCATGAATAGCGCAGCAGTCTCTTCTGCTGTCGCCGCCGTGTTCGTGGCAATGAACTTAGCACGTTTCGTCAACCGGTCCACAATAACCATAATGGCGTCTTTTCCGGCTGCCGTCTTCGGTAGTGCAACCATGAAGTCCATCGTCACATCAATCCATCTGCCTCCTGGAATCTCCAACGGTTGAAGTAGTCCCGGCGGCTTCGTTTGGCGTGCCTTGTTTCGCTGACAAAGCTCGCACATGGTCACATAACGCTGAATGTACTTCGACATCTTGGGCCAGTAATATTTCTTCTGGGCGCCTAAGTATGTCTTGAAGTATCCGGGGTGACCTACCGTGACCCCATCGTGGTTTTCACAAATAACACGGTTCTTCAGATCTTCATTGTCCGGAATTACCAGTCGAGCATTTTCATCATCTCTCGTTTGGTAATACAGCAGTCCATTCTTCACAGAGTAGCGTGGTACCTCTTTACCACTAGCGATACTCTGCAACAGCTCCTGAACTCTTCGGTCTGTAGAGTACAGTTGTTTGACCGAGTGCGTCACAGTTGCACTGGTCGTTTGGACGCTAGCTACAATTTCACGGTTTCGAGCCGCTTCAATGAGCTCACTGAGACTAACCTGAGCGGCTTTGAGCTCAAAGAGTGGGTTTCGAGACACTGCATCCGACACTTGGTTACTGTCGCCTGGAATCCATTTGAACTGTGGTTGGAACTCGGCTAGTTCATTAAACTAGCGAGCCACACGACGGTTTGTTGTCTTCTGCGTCAATATAGTCTCAATAGTCTTGTGGTCTGTCTCCACCGTAAATGGCCGATCGAGCAGGTAGACTCTCCACACCCGAAGCGCATGCATAATAGCCAGCAATTCCTGTTCGCGCACGGGGTAGTTTAGCTCCGCTGGTTTCATTTTACGACCAGTGAATGCGATCGGATGCTCGAGCCCTCCCTCGTTTTGAAACAAGACTCCCCCTATGGCAAAGTTCGAGGCATCCATACGAATACCGAACGGTTTTTCGAAATCAGGAAGTTGCAACACGGGAGGGGTGGAGAGACGGCGCTTGAGTTCATGAAAACATTCCAACTGGTGCTTAGACAAATGCAGCGTTTCCTTTGGGCGCAAACCCTTAGTACTTTCATGCAATGGTCCTGCGAATTGCGCGAAGTCGGCGCAAAAGCGCGAGACATAGACCGTAGTACCCAAGAAGCTTTCCATTTGCTTCTTTGTCCGTGGAATCAGCCACTCGCGGATCACACGCACTTTGTCAGGGTCCATTCGAACACCATTGCGGCCCACAAAATCACCAAGACAAGGGATCTCTTCGACACAAAACTGGCACTTTGACAACTTGACATACAGCTGCTGCTCTTGACAGCGTTGGAGTACTCTGTCCAACGCTTCGACATGCGTCCGAACATCTGTGTCTTGAGTGAAAACATAGATGTCATCAAAGTAGATGCGCATGACATCGCGTAGGTCGCTAAACACCCGCTGTAACAACCGGTTAAAAGTGCCAGGACTACCGCTCAAACCATAGGGGTGACAAGATACTCAAACAGCCCATCGGGCGTCGGAAAAGCAGTAAATGGAATGTCAGATTCACGAAGTCTAACCTGGTAATATCCCCACAAGAGGTCCATGCAGGAGAACCAGTAACTACCCCCCCCCATTCCGTCGAATGTGTCTTCCATCTCGGCATGGGTATGGCCGGCAAAATGGTAGAGCTATTGAGCTGGCGATAGTCGTGCACAATACGCCAACCCACGGGTTTCTTGACGCAAAAAGTTGGGGCACTGAATGCCGAGGTGCTAGGGCGAATGATTCCAGCCTGTACCATCTCCTTCGTCCAATCTTGGATGACCTTGCGCTGTCTGGGCTTTGGCGCCACTGTTTCACCAAAATCGGTTGCGTTCCCGGCTGAAGCTGAATTTCGTGCTCAATCTCTTCGCGGACAGGAGGTGTGGTACTCGGCAGCTCAGTGCGAAACACAGTATCGCGGTACTTGAGCAAAACTTCATATGCCGGATTGTCCACTAGCGCCTCCCATCCTTGTTGCTTAAAACGCTCAGCCTTTTCTGAGTCGTGCGGGTTCACAACAAAAACAGCTTCAATACCCTCCCCTTTGCGAAATTCTTTCATAAATTGCTTCGTTGAGATCAGCTTCGTTGCACCGGTGTGGCCATGCTGCCGGTAGTAATGGAATATTTCACGGTTCTGGTTTGCATTCTTGAAACGACGGCCTCCAATCATACGTGCGGGAGGTCGGTTAGGTACCACCAACTGATGGGCCGGGGGTTCCTCGGTCCTATTACGTGGACGCAGTAGTAAGCGTTCCCAGTCGATGTCAGGGTTATTCTCCCGAAGCCACTTCATTCCGAGGAGCACGTCCTTGTCTTCTGGAACAGGCATGGCCGTAAAAGTCTCGCACGTCACGGGGAAATTCAGAATCTGTAGCATCATTTCGACGGTACGTCTTGGTCTTTGCACGGTTTGGTTGTATCCCAGACGAACTGTCATCATGTCGTCGGGATGCTCCATGATTTCCAATTGTAGTCGCTCGGCTAACGCTTCCGTGACACCGTTGAGGCTGCTGCCATTGTCGACGAAGATCGAAACTTCTGCGGGGGTCTCATCCTGCTTGAAGGCTAAAGCGCTTACTTCCAAAATAGCATAGAATGATCCGCCAACATAGTGGTTCATCTCCTTGGTGGACGTACATTGTGGCTTGCTATGGCCGAATTGTCCACAGATGTTACAAGTAGCTGACTTTCGCCAATCCTCTTTCGGCCCACGCTTCGAAGGTGGCTTTCGTTCCTGTGGCTTGGCCGTACTGTTAGCCGCAGGTTTCACAGATGAAACTGCTTTCGACGAAGGCTGATGACTCACTGCAGGTTTTACCGATAGCCCTCCATAGTGAGCAAACTCAAAGTTCGTTGCAATCTCAACGACCTCATGTAAAAACCTTGGACTGAGTTCCTTCACCTTCTTAGCCGTCTCCGCACGAAGCCTATTCTGGAAGTAGAAACGCTTCTCCATTTCCGAAATGTCCAACTCGAATTGAGACATCAAATCCTGAAACGAGGACACGTATTCATGGATAGTTCCATGTTGTTTCAGTTGAAACAACCGCTCGCGCAGGTTGTATTCACAGTCTTTAAGGCAAAGTTGCGCGAGCGCAACTTTGCCTTAAACAGTTGCCATGATTTCAGCATCCCCGCCGCATCACAATCCGACGAAAAGGCACAATACCAGTTCTACACATTTAGGATTCCTATTGGCTGAAAGCAGCATCTTTTAGTCAATGAGTGACTTGCATGTTAGCAGAATCCTGCCAACCAGCCGTTGGCAGATTCCTATCTTAGAATATTACATTTAGAGGAAGTCAGAAACATAAAACAAAAATAGCACTTCTCATCTTTTACCAAAACCCGCTACTTGGAGTCTTTATCTTGTTTAAAGTATACTCTTGGATCTCGAGTATACTTAACTCAAGTAAAAAAAACCTACGCTTCCTCATACACGTGCGCATACGTGTAAGCCGTGGTAGTGAGCCAAGGTAGGCCCATTACACAGCTGAGTCAAGCGCAGCTGGACATGCGCCTGAAGATGCAGCGTAAGCTGCAGAACGCAAGCTTCGAAGTCCGCGTGATGAAGGAGGAAGTGTCCCGGGCTCAAGCGGAGAAGACTTTTGCTGAACGCGCCTTCGCCCAAGCTGAAGCCGCTCGTGTAGAGGCTGAACGCAGATCGCGTGAAGCTGAATGGTACCCTGAGGTCCCAGCCTACTCCGGCCCAGTTGAACCCGCGGACTATGCGGCAGTGCACGAACACCACCTCTTGCGCGCGCGTTCAGACGTCGCTGAAGTGGCGACCAAGCTCGCGAAGCAGCAGTACGAATAGGACCGGGAAGACCTTGAGCGCCGCTGGAAGGAACGCCTGAACGCAGCCGAGGCCAAGCTTCAACGCGCTGAGGCTGAACGCGCCAGCGCCGAATCGGAGCGCGCTCGCCGCGCTGAAGAAGCCGACGGTGAGATGAAGAAGCGCTTGGACTCAGTGCAACGGACGATTCAGTACGTACTCTTGGAGCGGGAGCGAGAATGTGCGGAAGGGAGTTGGAACGCGACACTGCGCTGAACGGCCAGAAGTTCCTGGCCGACCAGAACCGCGAACTGCGTGCAACCCTTTCCCAGGTTCAAGCTGCTCGCGCAACTACGGCCCCTCAACCCACAACCGGAATCAATACTGAAACGTCGGCTGTACCTCAATCGACAACCTTGAATCAAGTATCCAGTGGTGCAATCAATGATGGCGTGGCGCCCGGTACCGGTGATGTGCACTCCAAGAACACGACCGAAGTCGGTGCTGCCCAGCTACATGCGACCGTGGGTACGAGTCTGCCGAAGAAGGAAACTGCCGAACAGGACCGAAGTTCCCAAGGGACGAAGACTGTGACGACGACGAAGAGCTCTGCATCCAAGTCGGAATCTGCGACCAAGGGTTCAGCGTCATCTGCGGCCAAGAAAAGTGCGGTCAAGAAATCTGCGTCCAGAAGATCCGCTTCCCGGAAGAGTACCAAGGAGGACGCATATTCGCCGTCTTCTGACCCAGACGACTCCGACTCAAGCTCATCGGACTCCAGCGATGACGATTCAATCTCCAGTGACTACAGCAGCAGCTCCAGCGACGACTTCGACTTGGACCTGACTACCTCGACGACGACCAAGGAAGGCACGAACGTTTGGCCGTATCGACCTTACATCAACTACAATGCGGTTGAGAAGTTCAGCGAGGATGCGTCCGTGGAAGATCGCGTTGGTTGGTGGAAGAGGTTCATCGATATGGTTGCTCAAGGTTCCTGGCCGGACAAGATGAACATCCGCCAGCTTCAGGGACGAATGGCTTCGTCGCCTAGGGACTGGTACGCTCAGCTGCCAAAGTCCACCAGGCACAACTGAAAGAAGCTGTCTCGTCGGTTCAAGGTCATGTACTGCCGTACGACTGGTTCCTACTCTGAGCGCTACTACAGCATGAAAGTGCGTTCAGGCGAGACTCCACGCAAGTTCTTCTACCGGCTGAACGCAGCTGCGGTCAAGGCTGGGATTGAGTTCCAGAAGTCATCCAACGACACCTTCGTCGTTTCATCAAGAAGCTGAAGGATACCCAGCTGAAGACCGCGCTGCAGGGACAGAAGTTCATGAATATCAGCGAAGTCGAGCATGCGTTCAGACGCCACGAGGACATTTGGCGCGAGGAAGGCTATGACACTCCCCCGCCACGACGTGACTTCCGCGCTGACAATGACCCGCAGGGCCGTTTCAAGGCTCGCGCTTTTGTCGCTCAAGGTTCAGAACCCGATTCAGATTCGGAGCCTGAACGGCGTGTCCGGTTTGAAGAGCTAGATGATGAAGTCAAGCCAACCGCTCAAGTGGCGCTCGTCAAGGGACGTGACGAGAGTGTGAGTGAACCTGTGCCAGCTGAAACGCAACCCGTGTTCAAGGTGGAGAACATCACGAAGGAAATTTACCGTGTTTTGGATGCCGAAGGGTGGCGTCCTCCATCTCAGTTTGGAAAGGCGGATCTGCGTTCAGGCAACCCGGATCTGCGTTCAAGACCAATGTCACCGCGTTCAAGCAATTCGCCGTGGCAGAGGACTTGCGAGAGCTGTGGAAGGATTGGACACTCGAAGGAGAACTGCTGGGCAGACCTGATCTGTGATCGCTGTCACCAACAGGGTCACCCGACTGAAGTCTGCCGCGCCAACCCATGCCCAGGCTGCAACCAGTTCCATCGTGGATTCTCGTGTGAAGATTGGAGAGCTATCCAAGCAGTGAAGAAAATGACCCGCCAAGGTGCACTCAACGACCAGACGCTGGACACACTCCAGACTGGTGAGGTCGACTCTGTGAAGAAACCGTTAAACCATTAAGCCCGCTGGAAGGGGTTCCAGAACGCGTCGGGCTGAAGAAGACCCCAGAGTTGTGCGCCCTATTGTACGTCGGCCCAGAGCTGAGAAGAAGAAGAATCGACCAAGCTGACCGACATTGCAGGCCGTGTCCCAAGGTTCATCTCCCGATTCAGCTAACCTGCGTTTAGACAATGTGCTTTCAGACAATAAGCGTCTGGACGCAGAATCCCCGTTTGAGTTTCGACTTCGGCCGGGTGAACGCTATGGCTGGTGGGATGATCACGAACCTGAAGATGCGCATGAAGTTGCTATGGTGCAGGGTGCTGTGAATGACTGCCGAACAAAGATCGTCCTGGACACCGGTGCATCCGTAAGCATGCTGAGCTTCGACTTTGCGCGTAAGTTAAAGCTCAAGCTCCGAACACACAAACAGATGAAGGTTTCACGGTTGGGAGGTGCTCCGACCTACATTTCAGCGCATGGTGAGGTGAAGATCACGCTCGGACCTAGAGTTGTCTACATTTTCCGGCTTTGCCAACATTGGTGACGGCGTGGATGTTTTACTTGGTATGAACTTCATGTTCAGCGCCGGTGTGCGATTGTCGACTCGAGAAGGCTTGATTCAGCTTCCGGGTGAAGAGACGATTCAGATGTGCGGTGAGCCTGACCGCAGTCGAATGGGTTTGGACCTTCCGGTGCGGCCAGCGGAGATGTTGCTCCTGAAACCAGGACGCAGTCCTATTGTGCGTATCGACTATGGTGGATCTAACCCTCAGCGCGAGGTTGTGTGGGCTGAACGCGGAGACCGATGGGTGACAAAGATCATTTATGCGGCCAAGTCTTGGCCGACTGCGATCAAGGTTGTGAACATCTCCGACAAGCCGGTTTGGATTGACACGCAGACCCCGGTGGCTATAATTGTGGGGTATGTATTCTTTCCTCGTGCTGGCCGCTTTGTGCGTTCAGGCAAAAGACAGTATCAAGAGTGGCAACAACTCATTCTCGAGACCACTCTGTCTGATCAAGCCCAGATGCGCGCTAAACGACTGACTGAAATAATGAATCGCCAGGATCCAACCTGCGTTCAGGCTTGCAGTAACCCGTGGCCGTCCAAGATCATGTTGCGACCAACTTTAGGTACCGCTCACATTCGGCTCGTGCAGGTGAACAAGAGGCCGAAACCGTTACGGGTTACCTTCACCGAGGAACCTCCTCAGGAGCGAATCTTGAACGCAGCTGATTCAAGGACTAGGGATGCTGGAGTTCAAACAGACCCGGTTCAGGCTGATTAACCTAGCGTTCAAGTTCTCAGTGTCGACACCCCCCTCGTTGCGCACGTAGCGAGTGTTGCTGCAGCCATAACGCCTGTAGGAGACGTCGCCCACGCCGCACACCTTGAACGCAGGTGCTCCGAAGACGCTGGTCGGTCTGACCCCCTGAACGCAGATGCGGTTGACACTACGGCCATATTGGAGGAACCCTGTGGGTCAGGTGAGCATTCGGATGCAGGCATCGAAGAGCTGGTTGCAGCCAAGGGACGCGTCAAGAAACCACCTGCGGTCAGCATCGAGATGCTTGAATCAGACTATCGGGGTGTTGTACTCAGCTTCGATGGTGCAGCGAAGACTTCAACGCGTGTTGGAAGCTGTGGATGTGTTCTGTGACAGCTAACCGGCTAGGAAGTCCTGGACGCACGTGGGTTCATCCTACTGTAAATGACGCTGAGTACCATGGACTGCAGAATGGGTTGAAAAGGACATCTGAACGGGGAGTTGAGGACCTGATCGCAGTTGGTGATTCAAGGATCGTGATTCAGCAGGTTCAAGGTTTGATAAACGGCAACCAGCCCAACCTTAAGCGCAGACTGGTAGTGTACGAAGTGCTCAGAACCAAGTTTAAGACCGTTCAACTGGTGCATGTCAAGCGGCTGTATAACCAGGCTGCTGACTACCTGACGTTGAAGACTCTAGCGTTGGGCAAGTCGTGGCAGGTTGAAGACGCTGGGGAACGTTCGCACCTGCAACTTGTGTCGCGAATACCCGAGCTGGTAAAGAAACCTCCCTGGACACTGAACGAAGCTGAAGTGCGTACGAGGACATTGGACGCCGATCTGGATGGAGTGCATTCAGACTTTGACTCAGCGCCGATGCAATCTGCGGCCAAGGTTTTGACCGTGGTGACACATGTGCGTTCAAACGTTTTGCTCTGCAAAGACTGTTGGGAACCCGGCACCTTGAGCGCTGGATATGAAGTGGAGAAGATCTTGGTCCTACGCTGGGCCGATCATACTGAGATGCCTCGACGCACTCGAGTGTACAAGGTCAAGTGGAAGGGGCGTGACGAACCAGAATGGATACCGGTCTCTCAGCTGGACTGTGATGTCCTCCTGCATGAGTTCAACCAGGGTGTTAGAGTTCGAGCTCTGGCCCAAGCCATGCGGATTCGGGACGATCGCTCGGTCGTGTAGAGTTCCTTGAACGCACATGCCTGACCGCAGACCGCTGACCAAGTGAAAAATGAATTACTATGCCCCCGACATCGACTGTACCCTGAAACAAGACTGAGTGACGCTGGCCGCTGACAAGTGTCCTGAACGCAGCTGTACCTGAGCGCAGATGTGTCTGGACGCAGATGTGTCTGAACGCAACTGATGACGATGTGATTTACAAGTGGAGAGACTGCAATTACTAGTGGAACGATTTACGTGAACTGATACTGTGGAGAGTGGAGTGTATTCAGCCTGCTGCGCGTTGATGTGACTTCGGCGGAGAAGTGGTGGAGTAACAGCTGAGGAATGTGGCTGAAACCCCCTTTCGAGCTGATTGAAACTGCGTTCAGACGGCTTGACGCAGCGGAATCTGAATTCAGCCGCTCATCATTCTCCTTGGCCTCCGCATCCACGGAGGCGCTCGCCATCACCTCATCGCCATCCGCGTCGACGTGCTCCTCGCCGTTGTCGCCCTCTTTGCCCGCGACGTGCACCCGACGCTCGTTGCCCGAAGGACACGCTTCCGCCGCGACTCAGACGCCTTGCTGGCGTCCCCCGATTGATTGGCGCGCTCCTGCGCGTCGCCCCTCCCCTGCGTGCGTGCCTTGGGCGCGTCGCCCTCTGCCGGTGCCATGCCGCTGTGCCGTTCGTGTGACCGCGAGGTTGCCGTGTCGGTGTGTGTGCGTCGGTGCCGCGCGTTTGAAGAAGATTTTGCAATGATACGGAAAGCTGAAATGGAGTTTGTGGTTGGAGACGAGTCTGGCCGCAGATTTGACAGTTGCTGACCAAGCGGGACAGGGCGGAGAAGCGTGCGCAAGCGTGGCAGTTGGCCAACTGCCCGCGCTTCAGAACTGCGTTCAAGCTCAGGCCCATCAGACTTCGGTCCCGCCATCATGCGCAAGCTCGGATGCAATTTCCTCTATGACAGACCATGACTGGAAGGGACGGTTGTGACGAGACTGAGCGAGGTTTTACCTCAACCGGTCATCACCTGTCTACTGACCCGCCTGAATCCGCCATTCTGATTGGCCGAGACTGAACCCGGACCCGGCTGTACACCGTGCGACAAGACCTGAGCTGGAATTCGGCTGTGTTCCGCGGAGCGAAGTGCGCTCAAGGCTAGGATGGGCCCTTCAGGATTGGAAGACTGCGTTCAGACAAGAAACCCTGAACGCACTCGATCCGTCCAGGCCGCCCCCGTCTTTAAGCGGGTTGACACATTGAGGCCGTCGAAAACACCTGCACGAACGTATCGTGTACGGTGTCCCGCCTCGCCTAGGCCCTGAACGCACATCGAATTCGTGTACCCGGAACTTGGCCACCCCAGTGAAGTCAAGTGCAGGGTGTCCAGACCGCTGGCCACCCGGACGAAGTCCCGCCAAGTGCCCCACAACCCAGTGAAGAGTCAACCTACCCTTGGCCGTAAGGCCTTGAGTATGGTTTCAGTCTTGGACGCAAGTCGCCTTTGGCAGCAGACCCTGGACGCACTGCGTTCAGCCCTGCTGACTCAAGAACCCGGTTTCAAGGAATGCGGGTTCAAGGATTCCCAAGAACCAGTCATGCACAAAGACATGGGCACATTGAAGCTGGTCAATAATCCAGTGGAGAGTGTCTATGTCAACAGTTCCAGTATACTCAAGTCAAGATATTCGCCAGACGCGTGGCGAAGAACACAGAAGAACACAGAAAACCGCTACAAGAGAGATACCTTTACACAAAGCCTAGCGATAGTCTAGCAGGTAACAATCAGAGAGTTCGTTTTACCCCCTACTGCGCAAGTCGTCGAGGAATCGAGTCCGCTGTCTTTAACCCCTTGGTTCCCGACGTCGTAAGTTACGACTTTGCCGAATCTCAATGTCGTATAATACGACATAGCTCGATTAACAATAGCATTTGGTTCGAAACGAGATTACAATACTTTAATCAATTTTCGTCGGCAAAAGTATAACCAAGAGAGGTAAAAATCAGAATTGCACAAAAACACGGATATAGAGCTGTCATCAGAGATGGGTTGTGCATAAGCCGGGGCCGGCTAATGGGGCATTTTGTATAGAGAAAGACGAGCATCCCCTTTTAAGGTTTGCGCGAGTACCCACTTTCAAGCAAACACAACAGCGACCTTGAAGAGGAGAGGTCGGCGTATGCGGCTGTCAAGAGCTCCCACGAGCTCGTAGAATAGCTTCTAAACGCCCGTACACACAATAAACAAGTAAATGATAAAAAAACATGGATGGAATGGCGTCTAAATAACTCTCCAAGGGCTGTTGCTGCTATTTCCTCGAGTTTAGGTGCCGAATATACAAAGTAAGTATAACCGGAAGTAGACTATATCTGCCGAGACTTCTAACACGAAGAAATATTTATTTGCAGCCTTATAACAACTGTACGGTGTAGCTGGTTTTGAAAGCGACAATGTTGCAGCGTATTTCGCGCCACGTAAATGCCGGATTGGAAGCAAGGGCATGGAGTAGTGCGTAAATAACCTTGATCGTGCGTATATCCCACAATGACCTCTCCCAACAACTAAACTAAGATGACGAGAGTATCCTACTACTAACCAACTTAAGCACGACGTATACTTCGGTATCGCCGGGAACGACGGAGGTCTGGCTCGTACGCGTGTCATCAACTAGTCAATCCGACCATAACGCCTTATTTGTGCGTATAGAGATCCTCTTCGGCTGCTTTGACAGTCTCCGTGTACGAGGCGATTTCTATAGTACGCGAAGCCCGAGTGCCGCTACCGGTGCGGCAACCCTCGAGAGCAGCATCAATATACCTGCTGCGAATTAGAATAACCGTGGTAGGCTTAAACGTTTTCTAGAAACGGTAAAACGAAGCAATTTCGGCATTGCTTCAGTGTTCCGGATTGAGAAAAGCCGGCGGTGTAGGCCGTTGCCTCGGCAACAACACTCTATAGAAATGGGCGAGCTGTTGGGCAGATATCGTAAAGCTGACAAACAAAGCGAAGAAGTGAAGCTGCTGCTACGGTTATAGAGCTTCTTTAGCACTGACATACAAAGTAAGTCAGCACTCCAAGTACCCCTTTGTTGGTTGTAGCGATTACCCATTTTTCTTGAATGGGATAAGGTTCCCATTACCTGTCCTGTGCATAAGTGAGAGGGAAAATGTTTTGATTGGCTATATATTGATGATTTGGTGATTACAATCTCGCAGTCATCTATCAACACCGCGAAAGATGGATGTTTTGTGTAGTTCACCAATCCTATTGATCCACCATCTGGGATAAGTATGCACTCGATCTACGTTCAATGTCGTAAGTTCCGGCGTACTTCGCGTCGTTTTCGACTCTTATGTCGTATGTTCCCCCCATAGATCTCTTTAATCTTATATGTCTGATGGGGCTTCTCTTGTTACGGACAGGGCGCGCCAATACAAACTCGTAGTTACTTTTTCGTCGTAGGTTACGACATACAGTACCGTAGATTACGTGTTTTGGTGCCTAAATCCCGGGAACCAAGGGGTTAAGGACAAGGTCAGTGCGGAGCTCCCCACACACATTCAAGTCCAGTTACGTGGGGATCAGTCTGCTCCGGCTGCTGAAGTGATCCACGTATTCCATTTCCCAGTTGGGCCCATTGCGTTGAGGTAAGGGTGGTGTCCCATTTCATGTTAACAATTGATATCTAGGGTGGTTTGGTAGCAGTCACCCCCGGGAATAGTTTGATTGACTGCGTTTAGGATCGGATTGTATTTGGTCTGTATATTTCCCTCATCTGAGGGTGGTGCGCGTGTGAAAGTGCGTTCAAGGTTGACCAGTATCTTGAACGCAGATCCGTTGACTGGTGTACGAACCACCGCCCAAGGGTCTAAGAATAAGTGGTGTGTTTGTGTATAACTCTGTATTTGTATTGGTTATCTGAAAGTGGTGTATATTTCTGGGGTTCTTACTTGTGGTAGTAACCCTGATCCTTCACCCACGCTTCAAGCTTCAGCCATTTCAGAGAAGTGCGTTCAGACAAGTGAACGTTACGCTCAACGAACTCAAGGCTTTCAACTTCACAGACAACTCACCTGGTGATCGATGCAGGCTCCCCGAAGATATACGACACCGAGGCGGGATTCACAAGGTGCCACGCCACCCTGGTCGCATTTCCCCCAGAACCTGCGTTCAAGGAAATCTGCGTTCAGGGTTTACCTTCCCAAAAAGGTTTGCTCGTCAACCCTTTCTGGGCTACCGCTATACACCTGGGCGTAAAAGGTTTCACCGACCTCGTCACACGCGACACTGCTTCCATCACGACTCTTCGTCCACGCAACTGGCCCGTCGCCATCTAATCCTCGCTAAAGTTCAATGACTGTTCAGTCAGCTCATCCTCGAACAGCTGATCCTCGAGTAGTAGTCCACGTGCCGATTGACGGACAGCCGGAGGACGGTCACGACCGTACCCGAGACGGTGACCACCGTTCCCACTCAAGACACAGAACTGCCAGCGGTGGTAGAGCGGCCCCGATCGGAGGTAGTTGGAGAGCCTCCAGCCGGCCCTTCTACCTCCGACGGACGTGCAGCTGCGGCTCCACATCCAGTCGAGGAGTGACGTGGAGGAGAGCGCGCACGCCTCGCTCAGCGAGAGGTGGGGCGACGGCCCGAGGAACGAGGACACGAGGGGCCCGAGCTGCAGCAGCGCGTCGCCCTCCCGCTGGTCGAGCAGCACCAGCGACGCGCTCGTCAGCGTGAGCGTGAGCGCCATCGACGTCGGCGTCTTGAGCGGGAGCTGGCGAGTTGAAGAGTGGGCTACCAAATCTGTGCATGCCGAAAATACGATATATATCTATTTTTCTCAAGTTAACGAAATACGTGTTTGTATACCAAGGAGAGAAGAATTTTTCTGAAGACCCCGTGTTGACGCAGTAATTTATTCAGTAAATTGCTGCAATCGTGATACCTTCATGGGTTCTTACAAACACTGCCCACGGTCGCCACATTCGTGTTAAGGTTGCTGAACAACATCATTTTAGCATAAAGGGAAAATTTGATGGCGTTAACACAATGAAAATTAGAAAAAAACTTTTCAATCATGAATGATATATTCAACCGCAGAAATAAAATCTAGAAGTTTTGATCTAAGCTGGAATAAATACCGGATAAACCAAGGAGGTATATCTACAATAAAATATTGATTCCGAAAATACAAATATATTTCCGGGCGTATTTATTTTTCGGGATCCCTGGTATGCTGCCTGCTACCCCAGATCGGACGATTTGATTGGCTAACCGGTTCCCGACTTCAACACCTCACTGAGGAGTTCTCTGGATTTTATCTAGAGTCCATGGGTGAAGGCCACTGAGGTGCCATTATTCTCACATCAAATACCTGCTAAATATGGGTTTGAGCGTAGCTGATGTTCATGGCTAAAATACCTGTTATACTGGATAGCCTGCGATCTAATCAAATTATGCTGCTATGTTGACCCATCCGGTTGTGATTAAGTCAAATTACCTATTATTTTGCATACCTTTTAATCAAGTATATATACCTGTGATAGATAGTGTATCTGCCACTCAAGCGACATCCATCGGATTTGTTTTTCGCTCCAACAACATGCCGACGGGATCCCGCCTTCAACGGTGACGACTTATTAGTTAGGCATTACGACGAAAGCATCGGCCACTGGCAGCTACATGATTAGCTATGGCCTGTGGTAAGAGCCATTATGTCCAGCATCATTAGCGAAGACCCAGAGGTCATGCGACTCAGGCCTCGTGCACAGGCAGCTTCGGTACCGGAGCCGTGAGGTGATGCCGTCTCTCGAGAACGCGTTCCAGTAAGTTGATGGAGCTCGGTACCCCGTTCATTTCGACAGGAATCGTCAAGAATCGCGGCTACATCTACGTAGACGACATCGACATCGTTAAGATCGTCGGGGTCGGCTAGCTTGCTACAACCCCCAACTTCCCGTGTGGTATGTTGTAAATCGGTTTCTTCTTACTAATAGCGTTGCAATTTCTGGGCGGATGCTGCGGCTGCGAAGCAGGCTCAGGAGATGCCCTTGGGTCGTACGGGTCACACTACCGAAGTATAACCAAATGATTTTTTGTACCTTCCTATTCAGTATCAAACGGTCTTAATTCGTCCACTTGATCGGTCGGCTGGAAGTACAGATTCCATCTTACTCAGTTAGCGATCTCCATACTTCATGATCACCATTAATGTTGCCCAGCTGATTGAATTCATGTTGAGCAGGTTGTGTTTTATTATGGACGATGATATGGTGGATAAGAGAATCAGTAAGCGTTGGTTTGAGTGACATTTTAGTTTTTTTCCCGGCTACTGTCAGGTAGTTAAATAAGCTATGTATGTGCAACGGCTTTCTGAAAAACAAAATAATGCCATTTACCTATCCTAGCCTACGTGAAGCCCTACTAGGGCTTCAGGGATCTGACAATATATATTGGATATTGATTGTCGGCGAGGCAGTCATCACAATCATTATTGTACCAATATCAATATTTGCCCCAATATATTGCCATACTTGCCATTAGTATGGCGATATATTGCACTGTACTAGAGTATATGAGTACGTTGAGTAATGTTAGCATGAATCGTCATGGCACTTATCCCCAATGGTTAGCGAGTCTTTACCCCTAACTCTACGTGTCCGAATATGATTGACGGTCTTCCTAGTGTCTAAAGCGAAAGTGACCAGACAGAAGCATCGACGAGCAATGTTGGAGACTCAGTTGGGGTACCTCTCCCTCTTTCATGACGTCTGGTGCCAAGGACACAAGCCAAGTTATTATCACCGACGTAGGTACCGCAGTAACGCTGCAGCTCTGAGGTCTAAGTGTCTCCCTCCTACGCATACGAAGTCTTTTCGCACGTAGTCGCAGTATCTGCTCAAATTTATTTCGTATACACGTTGGTGCCATTGCGTGGCTGTAAAGAAAACAGAAGTGCCCTGCGGACCTCAAGGCTACTCTCATGGAGAAACCCATAGCTCGATAAGAGAGCAAGTCTACGTATACGTAATTCGGTTGTTCTGCGCCATCGACCCCACGTGAAAAAAACTGAGACTCGATTAAGTACTGACGATGGATTGGGGTCTGATGACCAGCGAAGTGCTGTTAAGGCTGTCAGAAGTATTCAATAGGCAACAGCCATAGAAAAAGGAGAGGAAAACTAGCTTATGGTGCTCTTTAATATCGTAAGAGAAGGTAGGGGCAGTTTTTCTTCCTGTACAATATTGACAATAAATAGTGGATATTGATGACATCGCTAAAATACAATATTGATGCCCAACAATATAACAATTTTACAATATCAATTTTTATACTGGGATAGCAGTGGCCGATAGGTCATGCTGCTAGGCAGCCCAAATCGGGTTAATTCGCGCCTCGGTAACTGAAGCCAGTAAACTGAGGGCGTTGTCGTGGTCCTTTGTCACTGACTGTCTTTCTCCTGGTGACCCGGTAACTGGAGCTGGTAACTGAGTCCGATCTCGAGTCACTTGACTTCAGCCATTCGCATTCTAAAGCAACCGGCACCTACGTACGTACCTATCCCCCTGTTTTTCCTTTATCTTGCGAACTATTGCTCAGTACAGCCACAACTTCCCTACACTAACATGGTCGCGCGTTTTTCACCATAATTCGCCACTATCAGGTTCATTACGACGCTGAATTCGAGACGTGGTTTCGGCTGACTGTTGTAGTTGACGTCGCAGGCCGTGTCTACATCGGTCTCGCTGATAGGCGCCATGGGACTACAGCTATTGTGCAATTTCACATTCTACCACTAAACCAAGCAGCCGGTCTACGTACCTAGCCACCGCACTATAGGGTCTTTTGACTGTATCTGTAGTTGTTTTGTTTTTAGTTTATAGCAGGCTTTTTATCATTACCCATTGGCGTCCCCTGCGCCTGTTTCGCAGCCGCAGCATCTGCCTGGTAATGCGATCTGAAAAGTAGATACTGTTGGAAAAGGTAGGGCGCCGCGGGGATTGAACTCACACCATACCTGTAGAACATAGCTCGTTAGACCGTTACACCATACAGGCGCCCCAGTCGTCGTCTCTTAGGGCTGGGACTTGACACTGTCTGATTGCATATTCCAACAGATACTGTCTAGTAAGTTTGGAGCGGTATTCGCAGTTCGTAAGAACTGTCGTTTGCGCCCCTGCGGATGTTTGAGATAATGCAACATAAGAGTTTATGTTGCATTATCGGTTTAAGTGCCATTTGAAACAACAGCAAATGACAGTTGTACAGCAAATATATTATTGTACCTTGCATGCTTTCTGTCTAAACAACGACGTAATTCGTTGTTTTAGCAAATCACGGTGATTAGCCCATCATCGAGTTAGGCGGCTAACTCATCGAGTTAGTATAGAATAGCAGCTAAGACAACGAGTAACGTTGGGTTATGCCTACTTTCGTTGAATGGCTGGAGTAAATCCGACAATCCTACGGTCCTGACATTCTAACTCTCTCGCTTCGTCTGCAGTCGACCATGACGATATCGATTGGCATGCGCTGGCGATCTATCGTGCTAACCTACCTCTACGATATTGATCTGACCGTTGTGGCTTCAGTGATGGGAGTGTCAACGCGGTCCATTTCTCGCTGGGGCTATCTGTTCCGTCGTCGTGGTAACGTCATCCCGAACGCTCGAATTGAACGGAAGACGCGCTGGCCTCCGGAGACTATCAAGTTTGTCAAGGGCTTCGTCGAAGAACATCCCTGTTTTTATATCGAGGAGGTGCAAGCAGCGTTGAAGTCAGCGTTTCCTGCGCTACCAAACATATCTACTGCGACACACTAAAATTCGACCTTGGATTAACGCGCAAGGTCCTCACGAAGAGAGCGAGAGAAAGTGTCCCCGCTGAAATCGACGCTTACTACAAGAAGTTGGCGCCATTCTATCGTGGACCTCATCAGCTGGTTTTTCTTGATGAAACCGCGAAAAATGGTCGAAATGTTCTCCGGCGGTTTGCGTGGTCTGCGCGAAATACACCTGCAATAGTTCGACAACCGTTCGATCGTGGTACGTAGCTGCACTTGTTTTTATCTCATTATTCAAAAAGGATGACTAATATTTCGACTGTGAAGGTGATCATGTGTCTATTTTAGCTGCCATGGACATTTCAGGCTTCATTGTGTGGGATACAACACCAGGAAAATTCGACAGAAACCGATTTCATGAAGCATTTCACAAGCATGTAGCCCCACTTCTTAATCCGTGGCCACTCCCCCGGTATGTGATTGTTTTTTAAGTTGCAAACTTTTTCGGCTGACTTAACACCTTGTCTCCGAACGGTACTCGCCTCAGACGCGTAAGCGCATGTCGTAAGTTACGATTTACATATTCACTTGATATTTGTATGGACCATGTGTTTCTCGTCGGGATAGGTGTATAAATTTTCATCAGGTTTTCTCGCCAATGCTGTAAGTGATACGACATAGAAATAGAGCAATCACCGCTCAATGTCGTAACAGACCCCACTTGCAGTCAACAGATGGCTGAGGAGGTGCACTGTTCTGCAGCTCCGATCAGAAATCACATGAAAGAAGGTGCATTGCTCAACAAACTTTGTATTCAACCACACGAAACTGACCACTGAATAACTGAAACGCAACCTACACGCTCACTGTCATTGCTGTTATTGTCCACCATCGCTTCCTTCGCGGGGAAGCTGCAGTTCCTACCGTGTCTTCTTGCGCTTGCCTGTGTTCTTGCCGGGCGTGCCCTACACGACGCGCTTCCCCAGGTCTAGCCGGTCACCCTGAGCTGCCGCCAAAAGTGTCTTAAGTCAACTTCGTGTGCCGGGTGAAGGCCCTTCACTTATCCTTCACTGAAGGATACCTGTCTGGTCCAGCTCTGGACCAAACTGTCCAGGCTCTGGACCAACCTGGAATCTTTCACGAGAAAACGTTAAAAACACACGTTCAGATCTGATCAACACAGTAAAGCATCACCCAAATAAGCAAAAACGGTGGCCAGGCAAGGCCAAAGACGGTGTGCTGGGCGGCCCGCCTGGCCGAGAGCCTTGGCGGCGGTCCCGCGCTTGGGGCAGTTCCGGTGCCTGAACCGGGTGCACTAGATTTTCGATAACCAGGTACCCATGTGAGTACCCAAAAGCAATCGTTGCTAGAGGATCCCCTGCAATGCCCTCCATGATCACTGCCTGCTCGGTCGCGCCGGTAGCAGGGCGAGGATGGAGCCTAGCAGTGTATTACACCTCCAATCACAGCATATGAGCTCCTGAAGTGAGCAATATATCGATCGCCATGCGGCGACGCGTCCTCCTCATACCTTTTATTTAACAGAATGTAGTGTCGAAGCTCTGTGGGCATCCAGCGCACGCAATTTTCGTCATAGCGGTGTCAGAGGTAGCGCGTTGAAGTCGGAATACTTGTCTCTACATGAATGAAGCGAGCGAAGTGGCGCAGGAAGTATTAGAGCGAGCCTCACAGCCATTGGTTGACCTAGCAACGTTACTGAAGTACTTTTGAACGTACCGCGCACCAGATATTGGTGCTACTCAAGACAATTGTGCTGGTATGTGGTTATAATACTACGCCCGACACAAGGCACGTGAGGGAATAGCGAGTAGGCGCGTTCAGCTCACTACCTGGCCCTGATTTTATTCTAAGATACCTGGGCTGGGGTTGCAGGCAGCTCAGGACGTAAGGTAATTAGTGGGCACTAACAGGGCTTTGCTAAGTTCAAATAGGCGGACACCCTGCTACTCAGCTACTCTGAGCAAGCAGCGCCATTGCATCATACGCTAGCACCGTCTACGATAGGGTCTCTGCTCAAAGGTGGCAGAGCTGCATCTAGTAAGCTTGACAAGCATCCCTGCTCTACCGTAGTTCATGTTGCAGTAACCGCGATGAGCGCTCTCCTCCCATTGCGTGGTAGCCATGCCGAGCAATAACTACAGCGGTGCCATTAACGCTAGATGTTATACATGTACGCTACATCTACTTTAGATCAGTACAAACACATAATATGTGTATTGTAGGCCCTCCCATATCGCCCCGGGCAACGCCGGTGCATTACTTGAGTAGATCAAATACGTTGGCTCGTCACCCCACCCCTCCCTACCTACAGACTCACCAGTGAACACCGGCGGTAATCTAGCTACACGTACACTCCTAGTCGACGCAGCCTGGTGGAGCAGTGTAACATGCGCTGTAGGTCTAAAAACTCGCATTGGGTGACATCACTCGATCTAGCAGTACCTAGCAATCCTATCAGAGTTGGTGCAACTACTTACACGTGAATCCAGCATTCAGACAGGGTAGTACAACCTCGTTAACAGCTCGACAGCCTCTTTGAGTACCCTAAAGGGTTCAAATACGTGAGCGTCGCGAGTAGTAAGTTAGTTAGTAGTCTACTCCGCAAACATGTTAGTGACTTTCACAACCCACAAACTTACAGTGGGTTGATGCGTTACTTCCCTAGATACAAACACTGTGTTATTCTCCGATCTGGTCCAAGGTAGCGACGCCGGACGTGGCATCTTTCCTAAGTAACTTACGTGGAATTACTCAAAACTCAGTGAAATATACTCACAATTAAGTAGCACCGTTGCCGAGTCCACATTGAGGTCCAGCGCACTGTTGGTTGCTTGCGTACAAATAACGAATAGTTCAAAAGGATGGCTTAGTGGTGGGTTACCTGCTACACGCGAGGAAATTTGCAAAATGTTAATGTCTGGCTTGCAAGCACTTACATTCATGTTATACCAATAGTCGTCACCTCGGAAATTGTATATACTCGAACAGTTACCAGTAGCAGGCCTCAACCCTCGCATGTAGCATGATTTACCATGGTTCAGGTAAGTGAACGCGTACCCAGGACGCGTCCCAACGCCGCACATATTGCGCTGGAGGCCCGCGTTGCCATCCCAGCACTGGACCAGTGCAATGGGGAGACACCTTGGTCCGCCGACTGCTGATTGGCTAGATTCCCTGTACCCACCCCTGTCTGTGCATCCCCCAGCAAACGTCCATGCGCTCAAAGACGCCACATCGTTTTGTGCTGCTCAGGGAGGTTGCTGTGTTGGTACGATCTTACTGTGTTTCTACAGCTTTGTTGTGCCGTCACGGCACTGTTGTGTGGATTTCACGCGTTCTCATCTTTCACCCACCCGAACCCATCCTCTGACTCGGTTCTGTGAACTTGACGCAGAGACCTCTCGCACCTTATAGGTTGCGGTTGATTGAAATAAACTTGATTAAAGTATGGGGAAATCGTCTCTATACGTTTTTCTAGTATAACACGCTCAATGTCGTAACTTACGACATAAAAAGACAGACATGGCGTAACTTACGACGTTCGGGGCCAAGGTGTTAACATTGTTTAGATCGATTGTTATTCTCGACAATGCAAAAATCCACATGTATAGGGAGCTGGACGAGCTGGTTTCATTTAACGGGAGCACTTTTGTTTTTTTTACCGCCTTACTCACCTCAATTGAACCCTATTGCGGTTGGGTTCGGCCTGTTGAAGAGGTGGTTGACACGGCACGCTCCTCTTGCTTTCCGTTTTGATGAAAAGCGGACCTTGCAAGTGGCAATGCGCAAATGTATGGAGCCATCTAGCGAGACAATCGGCAAGATTTACGGTCATTGCGGGTACGATCAACTGGGACTCAATCGCAAAAAGTTTTTAGTTGAAAAAAATAAATTCAAAAAAGCAAACTGTTAATCTTGTCACTGTTGGATGGACTCGGTGTGATCTACGTCGCTTGCATTGACGGCTGGTGTCGTATGCTCTAGGTCAGGGCGAAAGGCAGGGAAAAGATCGTAGGACGGTAATCCGACAGCTCTGCGCAGGTCAGCCACGTCTAAGTCTAAATCAATAACCCCTCCATTAAGGCGACACCCAACACGAACGAACTGGTGCTGGTGCGACTCATTCTGATGCTGCTCGGCCATCGCTGCTGACGTACTCATTTCGGATTGTAGGGCGTCGATACGCTGTAGTTGGGCAAACGTAGCGCTGGTTGGAGGCTCAAGAGAGGTTCCTTCGGGCTGCCGTGCATGCGATATCGCCCAGTATCGTTGAGAAGCCGGTCCATATGTCATGTTGTCTCCTTCGCGCTCTAGCAGCTCGCTAATTGCAGCAGCCGAGGCTTCAACACGAGCTTCGGTGACGCGACGAATCCCTGACGTAGTGTTCTTCCGCTGTACATATATAAAAACATCAAGCTGAAAGTCTGCTTGCCTAATAAGAAAACAAAGCTCCGTCAGAAATAAATTAAAAATATACGACAGGATGATGAACAACTAATTACCCAGTCTTGCGGCGAGCGGCTTGTTTCCCTAATCGATTAATTCTGTCAGCAAATTCATGCTGTGAACTCGCAAATGCAACGAATGCTGCTTGTGACGCATTTGCAAATGACTTGAACAGTATGGGCGCATCCGACTCCCATGTGATGTCAGTAAACGCAGCAATCTTGCTGTCGATCTGAGCTCGCAGGACACCGTAGCCTTCGCCATGCTGGAACTCGAACACAATCGGTGCTCCATAGGCCGTGCGACTGTTAGAGTACGGCTGACCAACTTTGATGGTCAGGCTGCAGTTTATCAGGAATTGGCAATGCCATTAGAGTGTCTGTCAATAGAAGATAGTTAGCTTGGTAAGTTGTGCAGTCAAGCCGGTTGAAATATACACGAAGACAACGTCAAGACAGCGAATCTACCTGCGCGATGAAGCGTCTAGTCGGGTGTCGAGTGCAATGCAGTTCTGGTAGTGCGGAGGCAACTGGTACCAGCGGCGCACGATCTATTCTTGCAGCGACAACCGCTCCATTCTTGCAGCGGCTACCGGTCTATTCTTGATCTGCGCTGTACTTGGGACTGGTGGTTGATTGACTTATTTTTAACTTAGAGTTAGGCTGCGAGATATGATCACCGGTAAGGATTTGCTCGTTGGTTGAGAGCCCTTAATCGCATGCCAAAGTTCGTGCAAAGCACAATACAGCATAGCAGCGCAAATTCTGATTCATTACAGCTCAGAGCATGTTTTCGGCGATACAAATGTAAACTAATCAGGCAGCAGCAATAATAAAGAGGGGTGATTAGTCAATCAATGTAATCTGTGAGTATCGACCGTATCGGGGCAGCAAGCGAGAAGGGTCGCCGTCGTATCGGTTGAGTTAGTTTAGTCATGTGAAACAATTGGCGGGAACCCGAATACCCATCGGGACCCCGGTTTCCCCAAAACTACCGGTATCCATGTATGATCAAATGTATTGGAGTGTTGTTCTATGACCTACGTTGAACGTAGCTTAAGCTCGGTAGAAAAACGGAAGGTGAATTCGTCTTTGCTCCCGTCCTGTGTCTCACATGACAATCCAGACTCTTGCCTGGTACAGCGGTAGAGGGCTTTTCGGCCACATTGCTAACCTCCTGCTCACGTAAGGTGGACTTTGACATGGTAAGGTACGTTATTCAGGTCTACTCAGTACCGGTGACAGATTAGTGGGAACTCTTTCATCGAGTTTGATGGTTTAACTTGCCCCAACGGTACCAATATGGTGGCCGAAAATTAAATATGTAACGGGGTACAATCAAGTGTACCCATTACATGAAGAGTGACGGGTGTCACTCTCCCGAGTACATGGTACATGGTACCAGTAGCTTCGCAAGCCAACCATTTGAGTTTGTGTGGGCTTTTGTATAGTTAACTTGTAGTTTGTATTACGACCAAGGTAACCTCTACCAAAATACAGTATTATAACCTACTCCTTTGTAGCAAACCGTTCCCTTTGAGGCCGGGAACTGGTGAACTGCTGTTCACCTGGATAGTAATATCCGCACGCACTTCCTCTGCGCATTGTGCTGTGTGACCCCGTCACACTTGGTAGCACTTGTAGTCAATCCTACGCCTACGCGGGTAGATTGGTCTACCTGAATCCTCGGTGGCTCAGGTGTGTGAGCCACGATGGACCGAAGTGAGTTTCCTCACTTGACTGACTCGCAGTTCGAGTCGGTGCGGAAGATGGCGGGCATCTTCGGAAGAGATGCCCTCCGGAGCTTGGCGGTGGCGACGCCAGCCGAGCAGGTCGAGCGGGTGAGCGCGTTTGACGAGTACGAACGCGGGTTCATCGCTCATGTGCAGGGAAACCTGCTGCCTCAGATGAGTGAGCCCAAACGGGTGCAGCCTAAGCCTCTGCAGCTAGCTGTGCGTCCGTTCGAAGGGAAGGAAGGTGAGAACCTTCACTTCTGGATCCGGGAGACCGAGATCGCAATGAGCGCAGGTCTCATCTCGGCCGAGAACCTTCGAGTCACCTTCGTGCTCTCCAATCTTGGCGGACGTGCCAGGACTTGGGCGTATACGCGCGAAGCGATGTCGCCTGGATGTTTCACATCCTGGGCTCAGCTGTGTGAGCAGCTTCGAGCCACTTTTCTCCCGGCGAACAACGAGTTCCGCCAGCGCTCGTGCTTCCTTGCCTGCAAACAAGGGGAGCGCGAGGTGTACGCGTACGTACAGGAGATGCGCACGTTGGCAACCTCGCTGGTGGGGAACCCACTGTCAGAAGACGTCAAGATGACAGTCTTCGTGGGCGGCCTGAAGGTCGGTTCTGCGCGCACGCAGTTGTTCCGCGTGCGCACCGTCACAATGGAGGAGGCGATCCAAGTCGCCCTCCAGGAAGAGTACAGCCACAAGCAGGCTGGTGCTCTGGCTGTTGTACAGTCTGTGGTCGCTGACAGCGAACCAGAACCCATGGATCTAAGTTCGGCTGAGCACTCAGCCCGCTGCTACGGCTGCGGTGGACTAGGACACTATCAACGTGTCTGCCCATCGCCTGGGTCTGGGAAGAAGACCTACCCGAAGACCAGAGGGTCAAGGGGGCGCCGACGCCATGCACCGTCAGGTACTCAAGGGGGACACAACCACCAGTAAGGACGAGGGCCTTGCTGGGGTTGGCCCGAGTCTTTGTGATGGGTGTACGGAAGGCGTACACCACAGAGACCCGGGGTCCCTTGCGAGCACTGACGCTCGCATTGGTGAAGGACAACGGTGGGTTGTCCGTAGTACACGTGAGTGTGCGGGGGTAATGGTATCCCTAGACATGATTGAGTCTGGGACGTCGCGTGGATGTTCGCACGTCGCCAGATGTGTCGGTTGGAATAACGACACAAGTGCCAAGACTCTGCGAGAGAGTCTAAGCACAAGGTCAGGTCTCATTGACTGAGGCTGGGCCGAAGAAGAACCTTGTGGTCCGCTGTGACCCTGGCTGCCGCGCTCGAGGGCGCTGACAGCAATGGAACCGCACATGGTCCCGGACATGGAACCGTACATCGTCCCGGACATCGTGCCGAAGCTGGCCCTGGGCATGGAACCGTATATTCCCTCGGCTTGAGCAAGGATGACTTGGCCCTGAGTGCGCCGTGCAAGCTGCACAGGCTCTCGGTCGAGTAGCGCGACAACGCCTTGAGGCTAAGTCGGCCCTCTGTGTCTGACAGAGCATTGGTGAGTCATGTTCCCACCTCTGGACAGACACAAGGGCGTCCGATGGGACCGCCAGGGCGCTGGATGCGTCCGACAAGACGAAGAAGAAGAAGGGAGGCATCATTGACATGCTGATCTCCATGAAGAAGGTGCAGTGTATCTGCAACCGAGGGCTGTTATGCCTGGCATGTGGAGCTGCTTCAACAAGCAACTCCAGTGCTGAGAGTTATTGCTCGGCATGAGCATTGACAAGGGTGGTGTTCGATGACACCACCTGGTGGGTAACCAAGGACCACTGACTAGCGGGTAACTTAGTTCCGCACAGAGCATGTAATGCCGAGGAGGCCGCTCAAAGCACCTCCGGCGTGGGTAACCAAGTACCACGGACGGTCGCCCAGACCTTAACTGAAGAGGAACGCGCTGCACGCGCTTCCTGTGTGGGTAACCAAGTACCACACCAGGTAACTCAGACCTAAACTGATGAGGAAGGTGCACGATGTACTTCCTGTGTGGGTAACATAGTTCCACACGCGTCACTCAGACGGTAACGGATTGTGAAGCCGCATGATGCGCTTCCTGTGTGGGTAACCCAGTTACACACGATGCCGTAAGGCTCCGCATGAGCCGGAAGGAGTCGCTCGAAGCGACTTCAGCGTGGGTAACTTAGTTCCACGCACGGTCAGTATGACCAAGACTAGTGATCAGGTCACTTGGGTCTCCTCGCGTGTGGTGGATGACCACACGGAGTTTAAGAGGCTCGTGACACCGTCACGATGTCAGAGCCGCACGGTCCTCTTGAAGGCGCCGCGCGGCTTTGATTTAAGCGGGGGAGGAGTGCGCGGAAGCACTTCCTTCCTCCAAGGGCTTGGCACCCGGTCATCATGGATGACGTTCGACTGGGTGTCGACCAGCACAGCTGTGGCCATGCGCACAGAAGACGTGGCTTGGGTACACGACGTACCTGCGGTGATGCATGTTGCGTCGCCGCCGACTCGTCGAGCATCGTCGATCACGACTGGAACGTGTCTGCCGGAGGGCGACACCTCAATGACCACATGCAGGAGCATGCTCGGTCTGAAGGTAAAGGCCGCTGCGCGGCAGAGATCGTTGGTACGGTCTGTCGCGGATAGCACTGTGCGGCGTTGGGACAACAAGTGTCCATGACTCGGTGCCGAGATGGCTGAGTCTGAGTATGCGTGCATGCTATACAGCTACGCTGAATGCAGGACAAGCCGTACGCTGTCATGGGTGTCATTGCCCGAAGACGTGGGTAACAGAGTAACACGTCAAGTCACGCAGACTCAAACTGCATCCAGGCTGGTAGATGCCAAGCCCTGGTCGACGATGTTGACCCAGAGCCAAAGAACGGTAGCTGCCCGTGCCACCGGAGTCTGCTGGCACGGTGACTCGGTGCTGCAGGGCGGCGCGAGGTTAGGCGGCCGGCTGGCGTCTGACCCGCCGGGGCTCCAATCGTAAGTGGGGGAGGGGATCGGAAGTGCCCTTCCTCTTGAGGTCTCTGGCATGAGACTTGCTTCGTCGTAGAAGCCAGTGTAGTGTAGCCACTCACGAAGTATTGCACGAAGGTGCTGGACCTGATGCATCGCTGCTCAGGTCCCATGGTCATGGTGACCGATGGCCAGCAACCTTGGCAGCGGCTACTGTCGCTGCTGGGCCGAAGATGGCGCGCGCATTCGCTGCTGGAAGGCTGCCTCTGTCAGGCAAAGACATGGCAGCCAGTCTGCGGCTTGGTCCGCGGACGATGGCATGTGTACATACGCAACACCATGCCGCAGCGTGAAGCTGTTGCAACACTGGGCGCGGTACGTCTACCGGCCAGGTAGCCATCAGCACCACGCCAAAGCTCCAGGCTGTTGCTACGCTGGGCGCGGCACGTCTGCTGGCCAGGTAGCTATCAGTCCCGAGCATGGGTATTGCCCACGAGGGGAGAACCCGAACGTGTTGCCTTTGCAGACATTCACAGTTGGCGCGGCACATGCCGCACCTGTAAGGCGCGAAGCCATACGCGTGCACGTGGCACATACTACCTGTCAGATAGTCGCGGTGCGTGACGCTCACTGTGCGCGTGGCACTTGGTGTACGCGAGGTACCCCTAGTGC